TATTTTCCCCTACATTCCTGCCAGTCCAGACTTCTGTTTAATTGGACATTTTATACATCATAAAAAAGCAACTAAATACTTACACATGCTGTTGTGAGGGCTGTGACTATGCATCCTGGACCTGTACAGATAACCCACTGAGTTTGGCCAGAGAAAGGAATTGTGTTAATATACCCCATTTCACAGACAGGGGACATCTACGCATCATCACATCACTTAAAGGTGATAGAATAGGAACTCTGACAACCATGTATGTCAATGATCCCTCCAGTTCATACTCAGGCACATAACCCTTTGTTCAAACACAATCTTAGCTGGAAATTCAAGATGTAAAACCCAGCTGTTCTGCCCTACTGGCCAAGGGGACGGGCCCCAGAGTTCCCCACGTTGGCCCCTCTTACCTGCCCTAGATGTGTCTGAGCAGACTCCCGAGGACAGCAGAGTGGCAGGAAGCTATCTGACACCTCACCTACCCCCAGAAGTACTCAGGCACCAGGAAGGGCAGACAAGTCCTGCAGCACAGGGGATGGTGGCCCGGCTGGCCCTTCACTCCCAACGTTCCGGGACTTAAATGGCCCTGCAGTCACCTTCTCACCTTCGCTGAGCTGTTTTCTGCCCTGCAGCTCTGCACTAAGGCCTTGCCTTCTGCTCCACCCACACATCTAACCTCACCCTGCTCCTCCTCAGATGCTTTGCTGTCTCCTCCTTGGCCAGAGGACACAGCCCAGTCTCGCCAGGAGCTGCTGAAATCCACTGTGCTGCAGGGTCACCTACATGCTCACCATCTCCCCAGACATCACCCAGACTACGGAAAGCGCTGGTCTTGTGTTCTTTGTCATTCCAACCTCAGTCATCGTTCAGAGCCCTACTCAAGGGACAGGTCGAGGCACCCTTTGCCCGTTGGCAGAATGAATCTTGCCTCCTTTGATCCCTGGAGTTTGGGTCCTTGGTGTGAGTGCAGGTCCCATATGGGGACAACAGCTACAGCGACTGGGATAGAGCATTGTTAACGGAGAATTCTTCATTCCATGCTGTTAAGGGTTGAATTGTGTCCCCCCACACCAAGGTCCATTTGCCTAAATCCTAACTCCCATTGCCTCTAATGTGACCTGATGTGGAAATAAGGTCCTTACACATGTAATTAGTTAAGGTAATATCATACTGCAGCAGGGTGGGACCTAATATGACCCGTGTCCTTAGAAGAAGGGAAATTTGGACACAGACAGGCACACAGGGAGATGCCACGTGAAGGTGAAGGCAGAGATTGGGGTGATGAGCCTACAGGCCAAGGGGCACCAGAACCCCCGGAAGACGGGCACGAGGCGTGACACAGCTCCTCCCCGCCTCAGGAGGAGACAGCTCTGCAGACCGAGATCTCGGCCTTCCAGCCACCAGGCTGTGAGAAGATCAGCTCCTGCTGTTTAAGACCCTCAGCCTGGATATGTTGCCACAGTCACCCTAGAAGATGTATTCAGTATAAGGACTTTTCAACTAGTTAACTGAGAAAACGAAAAGAGAAGAGGTAGGCGCTGCTGGCCCAGGACCAGGGAGCAGGCGGAGGACCGAAATAATAAAACACCCCACAGCTGAAACTCAGGGTCTGGGGCAGAGAAGCTGATGGCCGGCCTGGCTCTGAGGACACCTATGGCTTGCCTCTGTGGGTACGGAGGACCCCAAAACTGGACTCAGCCGAAGCATGCCCCTGGGCGGATGCTGAGAGTCCCAGGAGGCTATCAGGGATGGGGGGGGGCGGCCCTCTCCTTCCTTCCTCCCTGAAGGTCCCCCCACTCCAGCTGCCCTTTTGACCACTCAGACGTGGGGTGTTAGGACCGCGCTTCACCCAGCGGAAGGTAGCAGGTGGCGCTTTGAAGCTGAGTCACTGACATACCCCCTTCACGCCTATTCCCGCCTTGCAGAGTAGTTAGACGTCTATATGGGCTTTGCCTCACTGTCCAATTCACCACAGACACTTAGCTTAGTTCTTCAGTTGTTTGTCTTAGCTCCCCACGGCACAAGACATTGTCCATTCTTATAGTGGTCCTCCACGAATGTTTGTCCAGGGAGTAAATGAAAAAAAGAGGAGAAAAGAAGGGAGGGAGGGACCAGGAGCCCCTGCCAGCTGCCTGCCAGCACCAACTGCTGTGACACAGTCATCACGACCTGAGAGCATTGGGCACAGAGGGCTCTGCAGGGCTTGGAGGAGGGTGACAAGAAGGGTAGATCAACAAGTCTGTCTGCCGCTGGCCCAGCGTGCAGACTGTTGAACCGGGGGCCAAGGTTCTAATCCTGGGTTTATTACACACTTGCTAAGTGACCTTAGACAAACCACTTAACTCAACCCTAGAGATAATGTCACACAGTCTTCAGCCTGTAAAATGATCGCTGCTGCTTTCCCACCACCCCACCGCCCTGGCGATAATGCATTTGCTGGCAGTGAGGCGCGGCCGCTGATGAAAGACAGGCTCAGACTCCAATGTTCTGTTCTTACGGCAATTCTTTCTTGGCTGAAGCCCGAGGTACATACGCTACACCTCCACCTGTGACCCAGGTAGATGCGCATCAGGGGCTTAATTATTATAGGCTTCCTCTTCTGTGAGACCTTGGAAATGGGGCTTAGCTGACACCTTCGATATTTTCCTGTGATAAGTGATGTCAAGAGTGCAATGGTGCGTCAGCTCAGGGACAGAGCCAGCCCCAGGCTTGCTGACCCCTGGGACACACGGGCAGGAAGCAAGGGAAGTCGCTTGGGCTCAGGATGAAGTTCATTTTCTCAGATGTGCTTGTGTCACACCTGAGGTCCATCTTGTCGAGAGATTGCAAACCACGCACATTTGAAAGTCCTTTTAAAGTTGAATAAACAGTATCAGGACGCCAAATGTAACCTTTTATGATAACTGACATTGAAAAGTGTTAATATAGGAAATAATATAACCCCGCTGAACATTGCAAATGTTTGTTTTGGCTTTAATGAAGGTGCCCTCATTTTCATTAATGTCGAAGGGGGCGGGGGGAACCCTACAGCGTCTTCCAAGATCTGCTCGCAAACTAAAGATGTATTTCAGTGTCAGAAATAAATGCAGCACCAGCTAACAGGCCCTGGTGCTACCTGGGGTGGGAAGGCAGGTGGCCAAGGGTGGTGTTTGTTATGGGCTGCATTGTGACCCCTGGACATTCACACGTAGAAGGCCTGCCCCTCAGCTATCAGAACGGGGCTACATTTGGGGACGGGGGCTGTAAAGATGTGATTAAGTTAAAATGAGGCCCTTAGGGTGGGCCCTAGTCCAATCCTACCATCATCCTTATCAGAAGGGAAAATCTGGGCACGCAGAAAGACTCGAGGACTGCAAGTGCACAGAGAAAAGGCCACACAGCAAGATGGAGGCCATCCGCGCACCAAGGACAGAGGCCTCAGGGGAAACCAAACCTGCCGACACCTTGGGCTTGGACTTCCAGCCTCCAGAACTGAGAAACTGTATTTCCCTCATTGCAACCACCCAGCGTGTGGTATTTTATCACAGCGGCGGGAGCGGCCAGAGACATGTGAGCAGGACTCTGAAGGCCTCTCCCAACTTGTTTCTGCTGTCAGCTGCGGTCGTTGGTCAAGGGGGTGTGGAACCTTCCTTTCTTCAAAGAGAGTTTGGGAAGGAAGCCCCCCCCCCCACTCATCCTCCATCCAGAGTGAGGGTCTCTCCTTGGAGCTTTGGGTCACCACACGGATGGGCTCTTATTAAAACGTGAATATGCCCTGGGCTAGAGGTTAAGCTCACTGTCTCTGCCAATTAACTGTCATCCTAGGTCCTATTAGGAGTTAGGGTTCACCTGCCAGTCACTCAGTTTATACCCAATAGAGGGGACTACAGGCCACGTGGGTTTCTATTGGAGGGTGGGGGGACCCCCAGAACATGGAACAGGTGGCCTGGAAGATTCAGCTTGGCAGCCCAGTCAGCATGAGGCGTTGGGAGTGGCTCTGAAACTTGGGCTAAGGAGGGGCACCCAGAGGAATACAGAGGTTGGAGAAGGGCCGCTTCCTGGCCTGGATGGGAGGGTGGGGTCGGGGGCTGATGAGGATTGACCAGAGTGACCTTCTTTTTGGTCATGGGTGTGTCATGTTTTCAAAGGTGGTAGAAAGCGGGAGGGCTCTCCATGTGGTTTTCCTTGTACGAGGACAGGAGGGGGTGATGGAGCCGGTGGAGCCCAGCCAAGAATCCTAAGACAGCCGTGGGGGAGTGGTGAAGCTCAAAGTGACAGCAGAATAAAAGCGGGCCAGGGACCCCTGGGTCTGGGGTTATGTCAAGCCCCTTACACCTATTTCATATCCCCACTTGCGTTTTTCTGTAAGGATGGTCCCGGAGGATGCTGGTAGGCCCTGAGGGTCTTTAGAACCCCTGGGAACCTTTCCCCTGAAGCCCCTGTGGGCGTGTCCTCTGTTGGGCATTTTGGTTGAGCTGATGTCCCTTCAGTGAACAGATGTTAGCCTCTCCACCGGTGACTTCAGATGTGCGCATTGTTAGAAAGCCTGAATGACCGCAGCTTTCTACCTAGGATGTTGTATGGGCGAATATTTGTCTACTGTTGTGTTTAAAAGGTATTTCTCATTTGTAGGTTTTATCTTTAACAGTATACGTGATTGAGGGCTTATAGGAAGTCATGGCAGATGGAACACTGTGTGGTCTAAATTTCAGACGTTTCCGGAAGTGTCCAACATGGCTGTGTCATTTAGCATTTCACCTTCTTCCAAACCACACGTATCATTTCCTTTGAGGGTTTGACCTGCAAATCATCCTCGCATGTGCTCAGATCTGAGAAATGTATTGCCATTCCTATGCTATTACCTCTTGTCCTTTTTGGTCTCACTGTCACTTGTTATTTGGAAGAATACATAACGTAAATTCATAAATAAGCTTAAAATATGTGTGCAATTGGATCTCGATCCTTGGAAGAAAGATGCTACTGTAACCATAATCAAATGTGATTAAGTTTATATTATAATTTGACCACCACTGGTTGTTAGAGCATCAATTTTAAAATGCACAGCTATGATAAAAATCAGGGATTCGAAAAAGAAACAAAAAATTCGTAATTCTTATCACCGTTGTATTTTTCTTTTAAGCCCATTCCTGCTTAGTTGAAAACCATATTAATACTATTTAATATTTATGGGGCAGTGGTGACCAAACCTGCAATTAAAATAAATTATTTGATTAATGAAATATTAATGAAAATGACCGTGGGATTCAATCAAGTGGATCGGAGGTGTTCTCAGTTCCTGCTCTATCTTCAGGGAAAGGGCGGTGCAGTCCCAACCCTCGCCCCCATACATGCGTTTCTCTGCTGAAATTCCATTGCCAGGGCTAGAAAATTCTGCCCATCACCCAGGATAGAGGAGGAAATGAAGCTGCCTGCTTCCACAGCTATTTGAGCACAGAAAATACAGAAATCCTGTTAGATTTCCAGCACATGGCACACCCCCTTAATGCTTTACCTAGACACAACATCGGAGTCTCTCAGAAAGGAAGGCATGGCTTGGAATTCTCTGCTCATGGTTTTGGAAAACAAGAGGAAATGAAATTCTTCCATAATTTAAGAATTAAGGGTTAAGGTCAAAGTCCGGGCCATGGTAGCTTTCATTCCCATGAGTTTGATTACCGGGACCATCTTTCTGCTGTTGGTGTGAGTGCCTCAGGGACCCAGTTGAGCTGGGCTAGAATTTTCCAGAAGGATGCACCACTTCATTACAAATACTGATCCTGAAGTAAGTCCTCAAATAGTCAGTTGTCATCTTGCACTAGGAAAAAGAAAAATGCTACTGAAAGCAAAATGAAATAAGTTTAAAAATACACTACATCTGCATGACAAAAAGTGAAAAGTTACTAATTTCCAAAGGGACATGTGCACATGACACAATAGATGCTTTGTGTGGTCAGAACGGTGCCTTGGCCCTCTCTGCATCTTTCAGACGGTCACCGCTTTTGCCTAAGTCCCACAGTAACAGTTACACACTCAAAGAGTTAAAATAGCAACCTTAATACATGCCCACTTTTAAACTGTTCTGTCCTTATAACACAAGTTCTTATCAGAGGTCTGCACTGTACTTGGCAAACAAGGCATTCTACCTTTTAAACAAATAATTCATTAGGTAATTAAATTCAAGTGAGATTACTCTAATTAAATATACACTGCTGTTGAATCATAATTTCTATGTGGTCTAGTTAAAGATGAGCCATCTCTTATTCCTGACCAAAAAAAAAAGAGAAAGAGAGAGAGAGAGAGAAGGCTTTAAAAGAATTCCCCAGTGACTGGAAGGGTAGATTTACATGCACTCCACAGAGGTCATTTCAAGAAGGAAGAGATGCCAACACAACAAGGTGGTGGGGGTGGGGTTGGGGGGGATCCCCTCCGGTCTGGAGATTCCAAAAGTTCCCCGCTGTTTCTTCAGGTTCTATGGAAAGGATTTGTGGAACCCGGCAGGAAGTCACTCCCGATGACCTTCCTCAGGCGCATGGCTATGTGCAGACGAGCACAACCTGTCATGGAGGACCCGGCGCCCGCTGCACCCAGGTTCAGCCCTGGCCCACTAGGCCCCAAGCCAGAGGCCAGCGCTGGCCCCAGGGCCACAAGACTTGAGCAAAATGAAGTCACTTGTCCCCCATGCGGACGGCCCAGCTCCCTCTAATGGCATCAGGAGCCACAGCCACGATGGCGCTCACGGGGGCGCAAAGTCCCCGCTGGCTTTGATCTGCGCCTCCCGGCTGCGGGGAGCTGACAGTTGGCTGCGTGGCGGCCCCGCTTTCATTTGTCAGACACGCGTTTCCTAGTGTTGCGGAGCCGGCAGTACACCTGTACTGCCAGCATTTACATCGCCTTGCCCCGGGATGGCATTGATTTGGGACGGGTGAAATACAAACACAAACTAATTAAACACTGCATAATAGGGCCCTACAGGAACACGGTAGAAAAACAAATAATAAACACAAGTGCAGCTGGTTTGGCGATCGTACCTCTGCCCCCGAGCAACCGTCTGGTGACATCAAATTATAAACCTTGAAAACCCTCACACCGTTGCTGTTGATCATATTGGAGGCATAATGGAAATGATCTGCTTAATTAAGGGGAGGTTTATAAAATATTTACGCGTGTGCACGCGCATGTAGTTCACTTCCTCCGACACTCGGGGACGGCGACATCGCAGCACTCCAGGCCAGGCCACTGCGTCCGTTTCTGTAGCCTGCGCTGCTGGGAAACTCGAGCTGGCTCTGGAGGCTGCAGGCGCCATGGCGCACTTCTCCGGGCGGCCGCCTTCCGAGAAGCCAGGCTCGCACTTCACGGCGGCACTGCTGGGAGCATCTGACCGTCTGCGTCCCTCGCTTCTGGGCCTTTCCCTGCCCGGGTTTTCCTGGAGTCTCTAGGCATCTCCCCCCGCCGGCCCCACTCCGCTAGTCCCGCCAAGGGGCGCCCGTGTCGCCGCGGGGTCCCAGCAGTCTCGCCCGCTCACGCTCACAGAGCCCACTGCGTGGCACCCTGGGCCGGGAGGCGGCACAGGGTTCCCTGACCCCCCACGCGCGCCGTGGCTTGGCGTGGCAGAGAACGCTGGCGGCGCACCCAGGGGTCCAGGCCGAGAGGGCCGCGGGATCAGCACAGCCGGCCCGACCTAGTCCCTGGCCTGGCGTCCGTGGGCGGCGGGGTTCCAGCTGTGCGCTTCCGCGTGGGTCTTGGCTGCCTGGGACTGTTGGACGCTCGCCTCGCTGTCGCCGAGCCGGGTGGCTTCCTGGGTCCTGCTGGAGAAAGGTGCAGAGTCCTAATGAGTATTTAACAAGACCCATAAATCAGGGCGCTCGCGTCGGGGCGGGGGTTTGGCCGGGGTTCGCGCGGGGGCCGGGGCGGGTCAGGGCGCCGAGCAGCCGCGCCATCTGCACAGCAAAGAATGGCCATCTTGCAAGGCCGGCGACGAGGCCGCGGCGCTGCCCGCAGCATCCCGGAGAAGGGCTTCGTCGCCTCATTCTAGCCGCCAAAGGCAGGTCCCCGCAGTGGCTCCAGTGAGTGGGCGTTGCCCCCAAGAGCTTCCTCCCACTCTTCAGAGCTAGGTCCGGGGAGCTTCAAAACAGGGGGGAATTCTTTCGGGAGAAATGCAATTGTGAACGAGGATGCTGTTTGCTTTACTTTCATCCTTATGTAAATATGCGGGGGATGCTGGGAGGAGAGCTGGGGACAGAAAAAGGACACGATCTTTTTTAAATAGGTGATAGCAAGCCCACCCTATTTGGAAAACTACCCCTCCCGCCGCCCCCGTAATGATAACGTGCAAGTAAACTTTCTACCAGGCCTTGAAACCCGTTTAAAAGTCACCTTTGTCCAAATGCGCCTGGTTCAGCAATCCTCTCCCACCCTCACCCCCAATCCCCACCGGCTTCCAGGCCTTTCTCCCTCCTCTACCCCCAGCCTCGGGGCACACTTGAGCCCTGCGAACACACAGGGGCCCCAAGAGACCCACGTTCTAGCCTGAGCGTGCCAGGAGCCCGGGCTTTCTAGCCAGAAGGTCCCTGTCAACTGCCACTGTGGAGCTCTGCAGGGCCGCGCTGGTGACCCGGGCCAACTGCCGTGGGTCCATGAGTGGAGGTCCTTGACCGAGCACCGGAGCGCTCAGCCCCGAGCCCGGACGCCGGCCGGGCGGAGCTCCGATCCGGCCGCGCAGCGACCCCTAGGTCTGGTTTCGCACCGCTGGGCGGCCCTGCCTCTGGCTTAGTGGTGACGGAGCGGGGACAGGGAGGGGGGCGCTTGGCAGGAGCAGCCTCCAGACTAGCGGTCGGACCCGCCCGAGCCACCCCCGTGGCAGGCGGGAACTGGGCCTGAGGGCCCGGGAAGCGGGCCTTTCCCGGCTCGCCCATCCGGATGTACCGCGCTGGAGGCCGTCGGTTTTCGACGGCAGGAGCCCCACCAGGACCTGGCTCTCCCCCCATCTGCCCCGCGCCTCTCCTGCCAGCGGAGGGACGGTCGCGGACCCGGAAGGGCGGAGCTGGCGAGCTGCGCCCGCATTAAGAGGATATTCAAGTCAGGCCCAGTGCGGGGCAGGAGCCAGTCTCCCGGCCAGGCCCCCTGGCCCTTCCTGGGCCGGACTTAACCGTTTGATGCTGAGCATGTGCTCAGCTATGCCGGGCCGCGGGATCCTCGGCCCTCCGCGCCTCTCCCCCTCTCCAACGGGATGCTTTGGAAGCAGTTTGCTTCTTGCTTCCTGGTTCCGTTTGTGCAAGACTGGGTAAAGAGACACGAAGAAAGAAGGGACGCGGTGAGCGAAGTCGCCCAGGGCCTGCTGGGATCCCAGCGCCCGGCCCTGGGCCGAGAATGGCCACAGTCGCCGCTCCCGCACCTTTCCATGGCCCCCTTGGGGCAAGTCCACAGTCCTTTCTAGTTCCAATTCCTCTGTAACTGGCTAATCCTCAGGCTCAGTATCCAGTGGGTTTTTCCCACTCGCCCACCTGGTGTCTTCAGGAGCCTAAAATCATCTCCTGACCTGAAGGGAGATAATACAGACAGGGCAGAGTGGGGCGGCATGGCTGCGCTGGGTGAGGGTCAGGACAAAGCCTGCTGCCTCTCTACCCCCCACCCCCAGGTTCCGACGGCTACAGTGAGGCGGAAGTCCGGACGGGCCTTCGCTGGTCGGGTGAGGGGAGGAGGCGATCGAGCCTTGTGTCTGGATCCTGACACTCGCTTACATTCCACCTCACTCTTCTGGTCACACAGGAGGGCTTATCTCACCTGTGTTTACCTGTCGCCCTGAAATGTGACTCTGGGGTTTGCTAAACAGGACAGTGGTGAAACTGGCCCTTTGGTCTGTTTTAGATGTAGGGACGAAGGGGTTGGGGGTGGCTGGGGGTGGGCTGTGAAGCAGGGGGAAGCTGTGGTTAGGGACTTCCCAGAGCGGGCTGCCGAATGCCCGCCCCTGCCTCCCGGAATCTGTCACAGCAGGAAAGGAGCCCAGGCCGTTGCACGGGGCTTCTGGAGAGGGCAGGATCCTGGGAGGGCGGGTGGTGGGTGGGTGACAGCACCGACAGGAAGAAAACCTGACTCTGAGCAGAGAAATTACAGCCTCATTACGGAGCTGGTGATTAGTAATTACTATTATGGGCATTATTATTGCTAATTATAGGCGGTGGCTCTGTGTCTGTCCGCAGGCCCCAAAATGGGGAAGTGGGAGCCTTCCTGATGCTGCGGGAGCCCCTGGGCCTCCATGATCCCGGCTGCTGGAAGGAGGCCTAGGGGATCAGGACCCAGTCGGTGTGCAGGGCCCGGTGGTTCATGTCACCAGCAGCAGGGCATGCTGGAGACCGGGTCCAGAGGTTAGCTTCAATGCCGTGGCCTGAACAGGCCCAAACTGAGGCTGAGCCCCGAGTCCATGGATGAAATTCCTGCGGGGTCCAGTGTGCCGGATCGCAGCAACAGGCAGGGCGCGCCCGGCTCTGGCTGCCACGTGGAAGATGAGGTGCCAAGCGGCTCCAGGAGCCCCGGCCGGCGCCCTGGGCACGCTCCCCACCTCCTCCCCGCCGCCAGGACCAAGCCAGCGACCTGAGCTCAGGGGTGGCCTGCCCCACCTGTCCCGGCACAGGCGGACGAGGAAGACGGTGCAGCCAGCATCTGCGCCCTGGCGCGGCCAGGCCCCCGAGGCCCGGAGCCACCCGAGAGCGCGCCGCGCCTGGCCGTGTCCGCTCGCTCGTCCCGCGGGGCGGAGGATGGAGACAGGAGAAGAGACACGTCCTGTCCCCGGCCTGGTCGCGGCGCCTCCTCGGGCCGGCGCGCTCCACTCAAGTTTACTTCCTGTGTCTGCAAACCTACTGGAGAAACGCACGCTGGCTTCTGCCGCCGGCAGGGTGGGCGGCGGGGTGTTTCCCTCCCGCTGCTTTGATCCTGTCTCGGTCACGAAAAGGTCCCCCGCCCCCCAAAACCCGCCACTGCGGACAACATCTGCTTTCCCCAGCAAGTGGCTTCTCCGCTAGGGTTCCCTTTCTCAAAGTTTCCACCATAGAGAAAGCCTGCAGAGCGCGGCCTCTTCTCGCTCCTCCAAAGGCAGCAAGGCCGGGCAGTGCCCGAGGACTCGCTCATGCTTAGTGGGGGCCCCAGGAACGCCACGCCCGCGCCGGGGGTCACGCCACGCCGGTTCAGGGGCGCGCCGAGGGCGCCTGGGTGCCCGTCTGCCCCAGGCGTCCAGGGAAGCGAAGGCAGCGCCGACCCGGGCGGAGAGGCCGCTCCCGGGAGGCCTCGCCGCGCCCCCGCCAGCGCCTTTCCGGCCGCCCCGCAGCTCCCGCGCCCACGGCGGGCGGAGGCGGCCG